ATGTGTTGTTATCAGTGGAGTTCTCTCTGTATGTGTCCCCTGTTGTGACAACTGAAAAACAAAGTAACTTGTGTAAAAACTTTACACTGGTACACTGTTCTGGCATATTCGTGGATAACAAGTAATTTTCAGCAGTTCCTCAATCTTAAAATAAAAACAAACACTGCTCAGTTTTAACCTCTCCTAAACCTCTCTTGCAACATGTATTTCATGCATAACTTTATTTGTTTACTAATTCAAGCTCCACTGAAGGGAGTTCCACTTGGAAGAAATACTACAAATGTGGCGTCTATTAACACCGCTGTTAGAAGATGTGCTTAGATCAGGTTTATTTTTAAAGGGTTTGTTCTCAGTTGGATGGACAATGTTCTGCATTTTCACCATTCTGGTCATTCAAAAAGCCATGGCTACTTTCAAAAGCCTCTGAACTGTGATTTTATTCCTCCACACCCACTTAAAAGGAAAGGTATGTAAAAGGTCAGCAATAAACAAGCTGCGTGTTCCTGACCTCCAAATGGTCAAAATGACGGAAGTTAAAGTAATAGGTCTGCCCTGAAATGCTGGTATTTTTATAAAATGTTTTAGATTTCCTTCTATACACTGTTTAATCTATTCACAGTATGGCATAAGCTCTGTGATGTAATTGAAGGCTAAAACATGACAGATATCGAGGTGATTGGTTTCATGAGAAAGACAATTTGATGGGGGGACAGGTGTGGGCAATTGAGGGTGAGGGGGAGACACTAAAAAGAGCTAAAAGTGGGTCATTGGGGAGTGAAAAGCTGTGCTGTGTGGTCCGGAGGGATGGTAGTATCCACTGCTGTTTAGAGTCAGTGGCAAAGAAGACAGTTAGTTGTTCCACTGTTAGGAAGGGCGATCTGTTGCCTCCTGAAGACATTTAAGACCAGTAAGGTTGCCTGTATTGCGCTGCTGTTGTCTAACACTGTATCTCCATGATACCCAAGCTATATATTATGTGTATGTGCTTTAATATGTGGGAAAGGTCGATAGCCAGGAATGTAATTTAGCAGGAGGGACAACTTTAAAGTTTCTATTATATTGCATGGGTTAATTGCAGGCCTGTTCATGTGGGTGGCTTGGCTTTTGGAGTGATTTGCCATGTGTAAGTATCCTGTATAACTGTTTGTGTGGGTTGCAGCAGCACTAACTTACAGGAAATTATTGATTGTTCTGGAAAATGTTAATATCTTCTCATGGGGAAAAAATGTCTGAGTACTATGAAACATTAATTGTTTATAATAAATAGCATGTTGCCACCCAGACAAAACTTCCACATTATTGCTGCATATGAGGCGTCAAGTCAAAACTGGAGGCAAGTAAATCATTTTTTTTCCTGCATCAAAGCCTCAAAGAATGTCTTCAGACTGTTACATCTCCTTTCGTATGATCTGCAAATCTCTGAGCAAAGAGTGGACGAAGAGACATTACGTAACCTTCCTGATATATTTTTGAGCCAGAGACAGTTATTGCACCAGGGTTAGGGTGTCACTGACTTAGGCAGGATTCACTTGAAAATGAAACTGACACCAATGCAACAGCCACTTACTGAAAACACGTGTTTTTTATTGTCATAATCTGTCCTTCAGTTGCTTCATGATGACTCAAGGTTTTTTGTGTCAAGTTAGTGAGGTGAGGATTATTTTATGCGCCATCTATAGGAAATTTAGTGATGATCACTGGAAAACATTCATGTCCCCATTCTAGGATTGATCATTTTCTTTATAGCGTTAGTCATGCCGTTCCTCAGCACTTAATTTAGCAAGCTGCTCCTACAAGGTTAAAGCTGATCACCAACAATAAAGCATTTTTTATATATTTTAAGTATACTCTATGTATAAAGTATGACCAAATACAATTATATCATCCAATTAAACCAAACAAGTGGCTCATTGTAGGTCAGCATGAGTGAGATAAACCTAAACAATCTCTGTAGAAGGAGACAATTTAAGAGGGTCTAACCCTAACAAATTAAATGGAAGTTTAGAGTTTCATAGACCAAGCCTGTTATTATAGGAGCTTTGTAAGAGGATTTGTGGGCACTGCTGGCCCTCTCCATTAGCTGGCAGAGTAAAGGAAGCTTTTTCAATAGAATATGGCCTGTAAATATGCATGGATTTTGACCCATGACCTTTAACTATCTGCTAAAGCATTTTGTAAACTCTGTTCTCATAGATAGATAGATAGATAGATAGATAGATAGATAGATAGATAGATAGATACCAATATTGAACAAATTAATTGTGATTGGCTATAATCATGCAGCCTGAATTGATTGAGGGGACTAAAGTTAAAAAAGAACAAACAGATAAAATCCACAAAGCTTGGCAAAGATTTGTGCACATGGTGTGCAGACTTTGACATTCAAAAGAGCAAAAACATACATCACTCACCTATAAGAGGAGTCATGGCTGAAGTAAAGACAGAGCTACTCTGCACCACAAATGTCACACCTGCACCCACAAACATGGCGATGTATCCTGCCAGCCATCCAAATGGATAGGGAAGGTCTGCAGTGATGCACAAGAGAAACTTCAATCATTTTTAACTTTAAAGAATAAAGTGCTTACATTTTCCATGTAATCCCCTTCAGTTAAAAATCTATGTTAAACTAAAATGTCAGTTCTACACTCATCTGCCTGTTGATGCTAAAACTAAGAAGAATTGCTGATCAAAGGCAGTCATAAACACCTACCAGCACCCTGAAAGCTCATTCTGAGAACTCCCTCTTATGGGTTAACAAGGCAAGGAAACATGCATATTTGGAGCTGGCCAATAGGAGTTTCACTTGAGCTCTGAAGCTTTTCAAATCAAGAAGTCAGGCAGGGCTTCAATAAACTCTCAAATGATTTTTGTGTGAATTTTGTAAGGCTTCACGACATCCCTCACACATATAAAACAAATAATTATAATATGCTGACACATAATAAGAATTAAAAAAAACTTCACCAATGTGTTTAGCATTTCAGTACCATGGACAGCTCACAATGCTTGCCCAGATTGCTGATGGTGTTTCTCAAAAATCCATCAACAATCTGGGTGAAAATTTGCACTTCCAATCTGCGCTTCTCTTGATAGAGATTTTGGTCATTACTGAATTGAACACGATCCATGTGCATATGTAAATTTGCCCATTGTTAGTATATCCCCGCAGAGGTTTTCACTCCCATTGCACCTTTTCCAATTGCCTTCTCACACCAGTTTCTTCCAGCTTAGTTACACTGGCCTTTTCTCCTTTAGTAACTGTAGCAGTTTTACCTGGGTTATTATGAGTGTTGGAAAGTACAGCTTCATGCAATCACATTACATTTTTATGTGATGCAATAATGGAATGTATTAGTGTGTTAATTTCAGTAATAACATTGCAGTAACAGTTATGTTGGTTCTCATTTTATAAAGAGGTGGGTGGAAAGAGAGAAAAGAGCATTAAGGCTTTTTCTTTTTTTCAACTACAGTCAGCTTTTCTGCTGTGAGGGGGAAATGGTGTTGCACCTGCAACCTTTGTCACTAGGAAATTTAGATGTAATTTTATTTTTCTTCTAGCTTTTTAGCTTCCATTTCAACCTGTAAATGCTTTTGCAGTACAGTCTCAGTGGTGAAGTCCTCTGTGGCCAAGTTTTCACCTTTCTTTTGATTCAAATTTAAACACTAAAAGAAAGAAATTTTCTATCCTACTCATCTCCTGAGTAGGATAGAAAATTACTTTCTCCAAATAACATAATGCATTTGTTTAAAAAATAACAAGTATTGTGTAATACATTACTTTTTTGAGAACTTTGGTTGCCGGTTTGAGCCCCGGCTCGGACAGTCTCGGTCGTTGTGTCCTTGGGCAAGACGCTTCACCTACCGTCTACTGGTGTTGGCCAGAGGGGCCGATGGCGCAATATGGCAGCCTCGCTTCTGTCAGTCTGCCTCAGGGCAGCTGTGGCTACAACTGTGGTTTGCCTTCCACCCGTGTGTGGATATGGGGGTGAATGAATAGTGGAATTGTAAAGCGCTTTGAGGATCTCGAACAGCGCTATATAAATGCAATCCATTATTTATTTCCTAACAAGTCAAGATATTCATTTTTTATTTATTCATTTGGTAGCTCAAATTTAGACTAACCTGTGTTGATGACTTTATGGATGGCCTTTGCTACTTGGCCTATAAGAAGAGAGTTGAGCAGTTTGACTAGAAGCAGCAAACATGTGCACAGGACAGCCAGCGAGGTGGCGAGTAGGATGAGGCCCACTGTGAGGTCTGACATCTCAGCAGATGCAAACAAATGTCTACCTACAAAGAGAGCCACAATAACAGGATATTTGACTGCATTTATACCTTACCAAATGAGTTGAGACACTATGCAAAATGACAAAACTTGAAGTTCAATTTACCACCATTTAGTTTGCCATATTTTTTGATAATGTTCTCTTACTGCTTAGTTATACTTGTATCGACTGTTTTGCTATGGAAATAAAATTTTCTTTAGAAGACCAGTTCAGTTTTGGCCTTCTCTTGTTGAAATAAGGGAGGCCTTTTATCCAGAAGACACTGCTTGTATACCAACATTATGGTATTATGTTAACTTCTTTGGATATGAGGTTGTACAGATTGGTTCCGGCTTACTATATGATTGATTCAGATTCAGATAGGACTTTAGGTTTTAACTTACACTTCACGTGTGTTTGCAAGTCATGGCTGGGGTCACAGCTTTCAGTGCTCACGTTGTGATGAGACTATGGATGCATGGATAGATAAAAGAAAGAAAGAAAGACATTAGCCAGGCCATTTTTACTGGCATCAGTGACAGGCTCCATTTGGCGCCAGTACACAGTGACACAGTATGGTAAATGGCCTGTATTTGTATAGCACTTTACTAGTCCCTAAGGACCCCAAAGCGCTTTACACAACCAGTCATCCACCCATTCACACACACATTCACACACTGGTGATGGCAAGCTACATTGTAGCCACAGCCACCCTGGGGCGCACTGATAGAGGCGAAGCTGCCTGGCATCACCGGGCCTTCTGACACCACCAGTAGGCAACGAAGTGTCTTGCCCAAGGACAACCGGCAACCTTCCCATTACAAGGCGAACTCCCAACTCTTGAGCCACGATCGCCCCACGATGTGAAGGAGACAGGGCTAGAGATGAGACATTACCATAACAAGGTTGGTCTGGCACCATTCTTTCACCAAGCTCCTGTTCCTCATGCCCTCCTTCCCCATGGCGATCCCTGTGATCACACACTTGTCCAGCTGAGGGTGAAAGAAGATGTACATTCATTTTTCACCAAAATTTTTTTGTTTTGTTTTGTTTTTGCTCGGCAGCTGAATTGCTGATCGAGTTTATCAGTTTTCAGCAGTGACCTCAGCTAACGAGTTAGTTACATGAGATGGTTTTGAAGTGACATTTTCACTATTTACTTGAAAACATGTTCCAGATATTTCTAAATATGACGTGCATCATTTATTTTACACTTTACTTTTTCATGATGTTGAAATAACCTTACCATTGTTTTGCTGTGTAGTGTCAAGTTCAGGCATTATAAGTAGAAGAAAAATTGTGATAAGCCAAATTTTAACGGGTTGCTGATGACCCGACTCTACACCCCTACAAAGCTTAATCAGAATTTATTTGAAGAGACACCCATCAATTATGTGCTCAGAATTGCCTTCTACCGTGTTGTGTTTAATCTAGTTCTTACATTTTGGTTTCTGTGATGTTTGGTTTTGGACAGAAAAAGAAAATAAATAGAAATTATAAATAAATCACAACATTGCTGACCTGCTGTGAGTAACATCACAGTTACTAAGCTGAGATCATAGAGGGCTTCAGTCCAATGAAGGGGCTTAGCAAACAGTAAATTAGAAAAAATGGCATCTGATGGTTTTACCTGTATGATAAGCTTGGTGACTGGCTCCGTGATGACCTTGAGTAGCTCGGGTGCTTCCTCCCCTGGCTCGAGCCTCAGAGTGGTGACCAGCAGGTGAGACAGCCGAGTCATGAACCCGCTCGCCACCTCCAGGGGCAACAGAACCAGGACTGACAGCCAGTTGAAGCAGTCATGGATTGTTGCTCCGGCAAAAGCACTATTGTGGATCACAGTCATTTTCTGTGTTAGCTATCCAGGAGCATCATAAACTACTCAGAGTGATTGCTTGTTAATCTCCTTTTCACAGCTCAACTTTTGCTTTTTTAGTTTTTGGCAGTGATGTAATAAGCATTTGAGTTTTGACGTGTGTATATTATGAAAGGTTAAATGATATTTATTTTAGTGGTAATAGATTAACGCACCATCTGTCTGGCGCACTGGTTACGGGTATAGGATTAGTGTGGACTGGTGCCATTATTATAGTGTGAAGCTGCAGCTACAGCTGCTGATGCTTTCTCATCATCCTCCTCTACTTTCTCCTCTGCTCTCTTAACACTTTTTCCCTCTTCCCTCCATCTAACCACTTATCCACTTCACTTTTCCATTTCTGTGTCTTCTTGCCTCAACCCCCACCCTATTCTACCTCCACTCTCCTCCTCGGTCTTGCTGTGTTTTGTCACTCACCGTTGAAACTCGGTTCGTTCTGCCGCTTGCATCATGGCCACTATGGTGTTTGTAACCGAAGTCCCAATATTGGTCCCCATGATGACTGGAACAGCCGACCTGACTTCTAACACTATGAGATGAGACGAAAATAAAGAAGCATGCTACAAAAAAACTAAACACTGTAAATGCATAAACATCATTGCAAATGGTAATGCATCATATATATATATATATATGTATAGTCCTGTATTCCTCTTTGTGTTTGTCAGAGCATCTGTGGAAGAAGTAACTTTATTGCTGTAACTAATTGAACTCAAAGGTACAAATATATATATATATATATATACATATATATAATTACAGAAAATGGCCTTGTACTTTTTTATTCAACATGTGTTTTAATGGAGATGAGAGGTGATTGTAATTCTAGGCGAAGTGAGACGGCTTCGGAGATGGGTTATTTTTGAATACGCCTTTAATGGTGATGACCTAGAGGGCAGACGTCAGGAAGACAAACATTTATGCCTTTCCATATCTTTCAGTCTCCAATAATTACCTCTAATCATCCTCATGGCTCTCTTATTTAAAACAAATCTTTGGAAGCAGAGCAGCAACTCCTGCATACTGCTGTAATTCACTTTAACTACCCAGAACAAAGGTGGAAGACCTACGTGCAGAAGCCTGAACATTTTCTTGTAACCTTACCACATAATGGTCTTAAACAAGGCTGACTGAGATGATGAGACATTACCCAGAGTAAGAAAGGTTGGATTTGATTGCCCCTCTAATCTTGCTTCACCGTGTCAGACTACACTTATTTTACATCATTTTTACAAATTGCAACTGCAGTACTGGAATCTCGAAATGGGTCTCAGTTAGCGTCCTGAGCCACCTCTCATTTATTTATATTTTGCAAGGAAAATAGAAAATGGGTGCAGTGTTTAATTGAAACATGCAAATATACACATATAAGGCAAAAACAGAGTTTCTTTCTTTAAGCAGTCTTCAGGAATAGTTCTCTGGGCTCTTGCAGGACATTTAAAGCTCTTCTCTGGATGTTGGTCTGTCATAATGTTCTCAGACTGCTTCAATAATGTTGAGTTGGATCAAAATCAACAATACTTTGTTTATTATTGCATCAGTTTAAAAAAATATATATCTCCATCAGCCCCAAACCATCACATAGCATTTACTGTGTTTTAATCTCTATCTTTGTGCTTCTTTCCTGACCTCATCTGGATATAATCATGATGATTTGAACCAAAAATATCAAATTTGGATTAATCACTCTGTATGAGCTGTTGCCACTCATTTTTAGTCCAGTTCTTGTGTAATCTTGCATACCTCAGTCTTTTCCTGTTTTCCTTTCTTCTGAAATGGCTTCTTGACAGCCGCCCTTCCACTGAGACCATTACTGATGAGGCCTCATTGAACAGTACATGGATCAGGTGAAGGGCCAGATGCATCTCTCGGGTCCTGTGTCAGATCTTTAAATGATTACATTCCTATTTCTTAAGACCATGATTTTCAGATACTGTTCGTCTGCTGTATATAGGGTTTTTTTAAGGTCTGCCTTCTTCTTTTGTCCTTCACGTGTCCAGGTTACTCATTTTTTAAGGACACACTGAGATTTCAGCTAACAGCTCTTTGGAAACTACTCTGTTGGCAGAAAACTGCTATTTTATCCTGTCCATTATTATCTTTGGCATTTTTTGTTTTTTGTGGATTCAAAAATGAAAAGAACAAATGTTTTTGCGACAGTCTGTAACAAAGTGCAATTTGTTTCTTTCTATTTGCGTAGACATAACACTGGTTCAGTGAGGTGGCATTTTTTAAACTTGAATGATTCATAGGTCAGTGTTCCGTGGTTCAAAAAAATGTCCTTTTGAGAACAGTTAGGTATGGGGACTGACCTGAAAGTAAGTGAAAAGTCAATGAAATGCTTTGAGAGACCTTCAGAAAGCCTGGAGAACTATTGCTCAAGACCACATGTAGATCTTTGGAATCAAAATGTAATGAAATGAGGGGCAACTCATTAATCATTAATCATTCTTTCATTATACAAGTTTGAAAACTGACATAAACATCTAAATAGTCGAAAGATAAAAATAAAATAAAATAAAAGCAACAACGGTGCATTAATCTGCAGCCAAAAGCAACAAATAAATCATTTACAATAGACTTTATGGGTTTCCTAGCAAGCACTTTCAGGAGATCAATAAAACTATGAATGTGAGTTATGGAGCGAAAAGTTAGCACAATGCTCGTTTTAATATTTTTCAATTGGTTGTTTAGATGCTAGATGACAGGAAACATCACTCTTAGCTGTTCATCTGCTAGTTTAGTTACATTAGACTGCTGGAGAAATGTGTGCAAGCAAATCTTCCTGTTCTCTAAAGAACAATCCTCTGGTAAAGTTTGTTAATGTAACCCAAACTTTATTTGCTAATTTAATCCTTAATGCTAAATAACAAACCGATCGTAATGGATTCAACCCTTCACAGGGAATACGGGTTGTTATAGGACTTTGAGGCAGAAAATTTCGATTTGAACTATAGACTGCAAATTGATTTTGCTGCCAATAAGGCTCCATGGGGGTGTTATTTTCTCTGGTTTTATTGCTACGGTAATGGCTTTTGTTTTCTGTTTATTAACTTATCTATATATGCAAAATAATAACCTGCAGAGACATAAGCCTACTGTGCAGACAGTACAATAAACACACACGTGCACACACCTGAATTCTGGCACTCACACATTTGCACATGCGTTTATGTGCCTACTCACGTCCGGAGGCCACCAGACTGACTACAATGGAGGTGGAGGTTGATGAGCTCTGAACCAGCACAGTAACCAAGATCCCCACCACGAGCCCTGCCACGGGGTTAGACAGCACTGCATTGTCCTGGAAAATGTCCCCTGCCACTTTACCTGGTTAGATATGCCGCCCACATACACAGAAACACACACATAAAAAAAATACCAGTCTTAGGAATCACAAGGTTGCCAAGAGCAATGTTAAACAAAAATCAAACTGTTTGTTTCCCCAATTTCAAGAAGGTCACAGATCAAACTCGGCAGTAAATTATACAGCAGCAGGGCCCAGTAGGATGGTGTGAACTGGTGCTCGGTGACTCACTTATTTGTCAAACATCAACAGACTGAGTCACTATGAACCTGCTGATGGGGCAGTGCGCTTACCCCCTGCTAACTGGAAGGCAGAGCTCAGAGTGTCCAAGGAGCAAACAAAGAGGAAGAGGAGGAGGAAGAGGAGAGGGATCTTGGATAGATTGATGAGGACTTTCTTGATCTTGTTTGGACTCACTGCTGAGGTCTGAGGAGATCTGTCTGGAGGAAACAGCAAAGAGACGGTTAGACTGGAATCTTTTTTTAAGGGATTTTATCTGATGAAACAAAACGGCAGCGTGTTTTTGGCCACTGCTCGACTCTCTGATAGCTGTGTCCTCTCACATGTAGAGATAGAAGCCATCTGACAAAGTACATTCATAACCCATATGCAGCCAAACACTGCTGAGTGAGAGGCCACATGATCCCACTGACACTGTGTCTCCTGAGCATGTCCTTATCTAATAAGCCTGTGGCTCGCTTCTGCTGTTGTAATTTACCGCCTCAAAGAGGTTAAACCTGCTGCCAGCATGGGAGATGTATGTGTCACTCTCCTCTTTATGCCTCTCTTGTACCTTTCTCCCCGGGGAATGTGCCTGCCTCCATCAGTGAGGGTTTGTCGGAGTGGTGATTGGTATGTTGGTTACAGCCCTCAAAGCTGCCAGTGAGGTCAAGGGTGGAGCCGATGCCAGACTCCCTGTCCTCCTCCGCCAGTGGGAGTTTGGGATGTGAGGGGAGCTGAGCCGAGTGTATTCTCACCCCTGCTAGCAGAAGAGGAGTCAGGCAATTCAAAGACATAAAACTAGAATGGTGGGAATTTAAACTAATGAGTTACCACTGAAGCCGAGCTCCGTGCTCCGTCCAGAGGACACTATGGTTATAGATCGAGAGGACATGGCGCTGTGAGTGCTGTGTGGAGATATGCAAGCAATTAAAATCGTAGGATGTCACCACCGTGGAGGGAACAGATCTGATATTGGATGTATTTATCAGCCACCTGCAGCAGTAAGAAAAAGAAGCCAACAGAGACCAACAAGTGTGTATATGAGCCCATCTCTCACAGAGGTACAGGGATGAACAGACAAGCAATTAGAAGAGAGCGAAGGCAGCCCACGTGGTTATGTAATTGGCAGCTATTCATGATGTGAGGTCAGGCCGCACACTAAAATCGCATACACCGGGAGGCGTCTCACCTCTCAAACAACTAAGCAACCTCATCAGATCATGAAGAACACATTAGGATCCGTGTAGCTTATCCTGTCTTCCATTTCCTACAGCTGCGAGCCAGCTCTTCAAGGGACTCTCCAGAATCTATAGAGCAAGTCTCTTCAAAGGGTTTCATGCTCTTGATTTGAAGAGATCCCCCCCCAACCCCCAATCCCCACCCTCCTTTTTTTTCTGTCTTCCACTTTGGGGACTCCACTGGAGGAGGGAGTACTAATGTCTCTTAAAAGCAAAGAGGATGGAAGTAATTACAGCAGCCGAAATTACAGTAATTACAGTCACTGCATCATCCTCACCGCGCGTGTCATCTTGCTGCAGGTTTCAGATGCGCGCGGAGGCCCGCGTTAACATATGTACATCTGTCTGTATGTGGGAGTACGTGAAACAGCCCACTGCAGCAGGATAAACTCTGAATGTATCTGAGCTGATTTTGTGAGCGTGTGTACTGAATGTTATCCTCTAATCTAACTGCCCCGCTCGTCTGTTTGTCAGTCTGCCACCGTTCCCGTCTCAGCTCTTGTGCCATTACGTGCAAGTTTGTGTTTAAGGCTGTCTCTGTGACTCACATGGATAATTTCTCGATTAGTGTTGCTGCAATTTGGTTTTGCTTGTAGAAAAATGCAGGCTTTTCTCCAATGTTGTCAGTGTGCGTCAGCTTACTTGGCAGGATTTTCTAAAAGTATGTATGAGACATCGAAATAAAAGCTGGAATTTAAAAAAACAAACAAAACTATTTGTGTGTGTTACCACCGAGAAGATGTTTGAAAGTATTTGATAGTGTTGCCTCTTACCTTGTCCAAAGGCTTAGGTGTTGCTCATGACCCCGCTAAAGGAAGGTATCAAACTGAAGACTAAAACATCTTTAAATAGACCGAGTGTGGAGGTATCAGGGGGGAAACATCTACGTGATCTCTCGGTTATTAACTTGCTCTCTCATCAGAGACAGCATTGTTAATCAGTTACACAATGTCTTAAGTTAATGATGCATAGGTCTTAAATGCCTGTTGTGTATTAGGTAATAAATGATGTTTGTTCAGCCAGCTATTTTTCACCTGATTTGGACCCCAGATAAAGATTGCAAGATGAAGTGGCCTGTTTGATGTGATTTATCAACCCTTCTCACTTTTTAGGTAGCAGTGCAGGAGAAACCTGACATCTAGTGGCGTGTTTTAGATAAACCTGGGCGATTGCTCCTGTTTTCTTAAGTCCGCTCACATTCTCATGCGGCTGTTTCCATCACGTTTCGTAGTCTTGGCAAAGATTAAAGCCGGGGTATTAAATGATCACTTCTTCCACGAGATAAGTCAGTGGAAGTATTTCAGACACGCAAAGCGTAATCTGTTTGACTTGTACAGAATGTTCAGGTACTTAGGTGCTTTGCCAGCACTCAGCATCAAGCCTGTTTTGATTGGAAATAGACTATCAAGGAGATTTTCTGAGAGCCTCTTGACACGCATGCACCGCTATCCACACGCAGCGCCGGCCTGTGTTGTTGTGGGGGTAATTGTTAATAATTAGTGCTGCCGCGGTTCTGTCATATCAGCAGTGCTCTCAACCAAATCTCCCAAGCCTGCTGACCGCAGACTTGCATCTATGAACTTAATCAACCCTTTAGACTAAGTTGTTGCTTTCCAATCTGTTATGAGATCTGGGAGCCAGAGAGGAATAACAGCCTTGTTGTTTTTTTAGGGAGCTGGGTTTGCTGCTGTAGGTGGCGACTGGAGGAGAAATCCTTGAGATTTGGAGCAGAATTATACAGAGAGAGGAAAAAAAACGAAGCGCAGATGTACCAGCGCATATGGACGTGTGCGCGCACACACACACACACGTGTAATCACTTAAACACACACTGAGCGGCTCTAGAGCTCTTTGGTTAAAAAACACTCCACGTTGCAGTTAATCCCATCTCCAGATGTGCGAGTCACAGGGTGGCTGCTGCTACTGCACAGCCTGCCGATGAACCAGACGGGGGCTAAATTCTGCCACGCAAGGCGTCCTGCTCGATTTATCTAATATTAAAAAAAGAAATAAAGAGAAGCCTCTGGGTTTTTAACAAAGGGGCCCATAACACTATGAACAAAACGTCAGTTAATTATCTCTACACAGGTGTGTGTCTTATTCTAAAGACTCTGTTCTTGTTTTGACTGGCTAGGTGACACTAATCGGCACAAGACATTCAGATTAATACTAATCTCTACATGAAGGGAGTAATGACGCTTATCTAGATCTGTGTGTTTTTTCATGTCTGTTGTTAACACAAGAGCTAAAACCTTAACTGGAGCTTCACATTCACAGAACTGAAACAATCAGACTCAAATAATCAACTTGATTTCATGATTTGAGCACCTAAGCTGCTGGTTTAGGAACAAGCGTCAATCCTGCCACATGTACGGCCTCCGTTTCAGATTATGCAATTCCCAAAGTGGTTGCTGCGGCCCCCTAGTGGGTGCTGAAGTTAGGCCTGCAGGCTTGCTGGCCAAGGAGACGCATTTTACAATTAAAAACAAAACCAAAAAGCAATCACAACTAAAAGAAAACCCATGGAATTTAAATGACTTCTTATCGTAGGTGGCAGACGTAAAGCTCTTAAGAGAGAATCGGCTTTAACGAGCAAATCAATCAACAGAACTTCAACAAGCAAATCAAAATAAATCACCGAGAAGAAAACACTCCATCGTAGTTTCATGCAGTAATCAGAGTTATGATTAAAGGATTGCGTGGGTGGCAGAAGGTTGTCAGATTTCAAATTGGGCTTTGGACCTTGCAAGTTTGTAAAAAAAAAAAAACTGCAGGAGACGTTGCAGGGTGAAAAGAACATTTGAAACTGATGATACATATATTTATGTGTGATGAAGCAGCTCTTCTATCCTTAAACATCAGCACCTTTATTTATTTTTATTTAAAAATACACTGAAACTGCCATTAAATGCATCGATGGGATAATCTTACATATTATTGTGTGATTTCATAAAGATTTCGATTTTAAGCTGTGCTTCTTTCATCCTCTGCTGCACACCATCATCTGTCTGTATTGTTTCCGACAGCCTTATTATTTGGCAGTTGGCTTAGTGGAGGTTAGTAAACACAGATTCACTCAGCAACATCACTTTATTGTTACTACACATTCAGGTGGCATGTATACACCACTCACAGTACAATGAAACAATATCATCACAGGTGTCCTTCTGTTCACATACATGTTGTTTCAGTGGTAGGGTGAATTTGTGTGTGTGTGTGCGTGCGTGTGTGCGTGTGTGTGTTTTAGTCCAATTCTCTCCTTTTAATCAATTCATGGCTTGCATTTTTTTCATATACTATTCTGCATGTTCCTCTGTGTACATCTGCACATTTTATGTCTCAGGTTTATGATGATGTAGCTTTATGGCATCTTTTTTTGGCTTTGTTCATTATTTCAGTTCTTCGCTGGAGGATGACGGTGTCTCAGAGCCATCAGGACATTCCTGCAACAAATAAAAATAAAACTCTGGTTCTAAACATAGCTTTAGGCTATGTTCTTTAGTAGAACAGTGATACATCTCACCTTCACTCTCTCCAGCTCTGGTCTTCCTGGGAGTGATTTTTGTGAGGAAAAGGCCTGTGAGGAAAGACAGTAAGGTTGACTCATAGGGTGAGGGAAGAAATAGTGTGCTAGGGGGGAAATCAGGCTGCTGCAGGCTCACCTTCTTTGACTGCTGTACCTCCTCTGTGGACTTAGACCTATTTTTCATGTGTTTCTGAGGAGAGGTGTTGGTGGGACACTAGGCAGAGGGAAGGGTCGCATTAGACGGCGAATGATTAAAATTTAGTGTATCAGAGTATCGGGTTCTCAAGTACCTCGTTTGTCTTCTGCTCCATGGCTGACTTGAAAGTTTTTCCTCAGAAGTTCGGGGCTGTGGGGACTTAAGATGGATCACTCTGTTTTTCTTGCAAACTTTGGCTGTGCAACTGAAAGGTTAGGAGAAAAAATGAGAGAAACTTTCAAAAAACGTGACTGCACGCAACAACAACAGACAAGGGAAAGTCATTAATATATCCAGTAAAATGCAAACAATTAATCTTGCCCTAAGCGGTCTGATCCACTGCAAGAGATCCAAGTGAAGC